TCTCCATGACTAACCCTCCTCACGTCTCTTTATCACCTCGCACCGCTAGGGCAAACGATTCGAGTACGTGGAACGCTATTCCTCGTCTCCTGAAACCACGCTCTAAACTACACGTAGGAGCTTTTAACGTCCGAACACTGTGCCAAATAGGACAGCAGGCTTCCTTAGCTAGGACTTTAGAATCTGGCGCCATCGATGTGTGCTGCGTCTCCGAAACGCTCATACAAGATCCGAGTAGCGTCATTCATTTGACTTCACCATGCTAAAATAAAGAACCGACTCGATTTACGCTTCGTGTATCTGGAAACCCTGATTCTGCTTCCCGTGGCCTCGCCGGCGTAGGTATAGCATTGAGTCCCAGAGCAGAACTAGCTCTCTTAGAGTGGATCCCAGTAGACAGTCGTTTGTGCGCTGTCCGACTGAACGGAACAGTAAGAATCCAGAAAGATAGGGACACTCGTCGTTGCCTCTTCGTCGTTTCTGCCTATTCTCCCACTGACTGCAGCTCAGAGGATGTAAAAGATGAGTTTTACAGAAAGCTTTCCGACCTTCTCCAAAAAGCTAGGCGCTCTGATGTAGTAATAGTGGCTGGTGACTTCAATGCTCAAGTAGGTAAACTAAGCGATAGGGAAAGACACCTAGGTGGATCTTATGGTGTCGTGGCTCAAAGAACAGATAATAGCGACCGTCTGTTGCAGCTATGCTCAGATAACCGCCTGTTCCTTGCAAATACTAACTTGAGGCATAAGGAAAAACATCTTTTAACATGGAGACCCCCTAATTCGTCCCAACGTTGGACCCAAATAGATCACATCGCTATCAACCACCGATGGAGGGGCTCGATAGAAGACTGTCGCTCATTCTGGAGCACATGCTTAGATTCAGATCATGCTCTAGTACGAGCGCGTATTTGCTTGCGTCTTACTGGACGTAAGAAAGACGCTGCAAGGAAACCTCTTAGGGGCCTACTTAACGATAGTCAAGCTAAGAGTATATTTCAGGAACAACTAGGAAAACAGTTAGGCAGCCATGTATGTGATGCCCACCCCGAGGCAGCATGGAATGATATCCGAAAAGCTGTGGAAACAGCAGTGATATCTGCTAGTAAGGTAAACCAGAAGGTTAGGGAGCAACACTGGATCTCAGCAGCATATATTGCACTGATAGATGCTCGGAAACTCATTCCATCTGGCTCTGAACATAGTGAAGAGTGGAGTCAGCTTAAGCGCAAGCTGACAAGAAGTCTACGCAATGATCGCGAACAGTGGTGGGTAGCGAAAGCAAGAGAGATGGAAAAGGCAGCGGCAATAGGTAATAGCAGACAATTGTTCAGACTTGTTAAGGAAACCGGAATTAGGAACCCGACCATTAGCGAAACAATCTCAGAGAAAGATGGACATATTATTCATTCTCAATCCAGGAGATTGGATCGATGGGCAGAACACTTTAGGGATCAGTTCAACTGGCCTTCAGCCACACTTCGGTTTCCCACGATCTCTAGTCAACCTGAATGGCAGGTTAATGTAAGTCCTCCGTCCCTTTACGAAGTTGAAAAAACCATAGGAAGTCTGAAACGAGGGAGAGCAGCAGGCCCTGACAGGTTTACTCTTGAGATTTTTAAGGTTGGTGGTCCAGTATTAGCAATGAGATTAACCGAGGTCTTAGGTAGAATTTGGGAACTGGACGTAATCCCATCTGACTGGTCTCAATCACTGATTGTGCCAGTCTATAAGAAAGGACAAAAGTCCTCTTGTGACAATCACAGAGGAATCAAGTTTGACAAATATAGTATCTAAAATATTAGCTTCAATAATACTTCGACGCCTAACTAAAGCTCGTGAAGAGCAGACTAGAGAAAATCAGGCCGGTTTTCGACCTGGACGTGGTTGTATAGACCACATATTCACACTACGTCAGGTTCTAGAACACAGACACACATTCAGACGCCCCACAATTGTAGTATTTCTCGACCTTAAGGCGGCATTCGACTCTATTGATCGTGAGGTTCTATGGCAGTGTTTGTCACTGAAAGGAGTACCAAAGAAGTACATTAACCTTATACAGGCTCTCTACTCCAACACAACTGGTAGAGTGAGAACTTATGGCGAACTGTCATCAGAATTGATTACCTTAAGTGATGTTCGTCAGGGCTGTCCACTCTCTCCATTCTTGTTCAACTTTGTCATTGACGTACTTTTAGAGATAACATTTTCCTCGTCTAGATTTCCAGGGGTTGAACTTCTACCAGGAGGTTCACTTGTTGACTTAAAATATGCTGATGACAGTTTTATTTGGTGAAGACACTGACAAAATGCAGAGTCTTCTGACCACTCTAAGCAACAATGCAAGCATGTTCGGGATGCGATTCTCCCCCTCGAAATGCAGAAAGTTGCTTCAGGATTGGGTTGCATCGACACCCGAACTAGTGATAGGGAGTGAAGTAGTTGAGTGTGTTGACCGCTTCACTTATCTTGGAAGTCTCATCAGCCCTTGTGGTCTGGTGTGTGACGAAATATCAGCACGGATACAGAAGGCTCGACTAGCTTTTACCAACTTGCATCATTTATGGCGTAGGCGAGATATTCGTCTATCAACCAAAAGACGCGTAATCAGTAGAAGGCTAACGCAAACAAATAACAACCCATTGTTATATCCGGTGAAGATTAAACTACAGGTAAATTCCAAGGACTATTCATGGACTAATATTCTATAAATATTCTTATTGTATAACTACTCAACAATTAAACTATGGATATTTATATTCCTTTTATGATAAGCTTTATTTTGATCTATAATTTATTATTGTACAATTTACGGTTCTTAAGTTATGTTCAGTTTATTAACTACTGCCTCCCACATTCGCAGCCACTTTTTGGGGCTTATTTGTGTACAAATATTATTTCCTATTTATGGTACGTTGCGGTCTGTGTGATTGATATATAAACCAAGTATGCCTGAAATAAACGATCTGCTCTGATTCGGAAGCTGGTATTTTGTTCTGGACTCAAGTGGAAGGGCTCGTAGGACATAGGACCAATAAGGACGCTAAACTGCCCACACCGGTTGAACGTCATTGGTTGGCCTAGTGTGAAGATTCGTATAAGTCGTATTCGGATTGGTAGATAAATCGTGTGATCGAAAAGCCAGACATTCAAGGTCATAACACCCATTATAAAGAAAATCATAATTATTCTCATGAGTGTTAACAGCATTTTTGTGATAACAGGAAATCTAGATATATTCAGTAATTATTCAATCAAACCTGAGTTAACTGGGATTGGAATTTATTCTTTTTTAACCACTACGAAAAGGCAAAAGTGCGAAAGTTACATCGCTGTAACCAAACAAATTGTAAACAAAAAATTCCACTGCAATGCTATAAATTTTTTTTAATGCAATCCAACTAATAGGTAAATGACTTAAACTAGGGATGTAGGTAACCTATTTATTTATTTAAACACATAAAAATTGGTAAAAGGAGAGACTGAATATATACGCGCCACACAAAACATTCAATTTGTGTGAGGGATGGAATACTATCGATATGCCAACAATGGAACAGGTGGTTTTATTAGCAGATTACTACCTGAGCTTTTGACCCAGAGATCTAATCCATGAAATCGCTAACCATTGAACCGATCCGTATTGGTAGGCGTAGACTAATTTGGTTAAGGTCTGCACATTTAATGGTTGAGTGATATGGATTATAATCATTTATATTATTTCGCGCTTCCTATTCTTAAATTCATTCCTGTTTTTTGGACAGTTTTCTTCAATTTCTTTTTCATTAATAATTTAAAAATTATAATGGAAAAAGCTGAATTTCGTCAAATAATCCAAAAGTTTAATATTATTAGTTCTTCATTAATATTCGGTAATTAGCTATCACACTTGCAATGATTTTATCCAAAAGTTCAGAAGCAGTACTCAACCCTCGTTTCATTAGGTTAGCCTACTCAGGGAACTCAAGTGATCAAAGATCATCCACTTCAGTTTAAGGTCTCCTTTACAATATCGATAAAACGACGAATCACATAAAGGGCTCAATAATTGCATTCTGAAAACAGCCAACTACTATAAGTCAATCCAAATAGCTTATTGCAGTAATTAAAAAATGATTTAGGGCTCATTTTTTGAAATGTAGTACTTCGATGGAAATAACCTGGTATTATCTATAATGAAGCCTTTTTTCCCTAAAAAGTACATATTGTTTAGAAATTTGCATGTATTAATGTCGGAGTGATCCAGAAAATTTGCAAAAGACAAGCAAGGATCAGGAGACAACTTTGTTCAAACCGGTCACATGGTCAGTGAGAAATCACTACTCACAGTAATCTATCATATTAGTAATTCTCTGCTGAAATCCGTCAGGCTTAATGTGCTACAAATGCCAGAAGCAATAACTATTAGTATTAAGAAAGTTTCGTTTCGCTAGCTTCAGACACGATAAATCAATAGCTATCATAGTCACAAGATGACCTTCTTTGACCCATGTACAGAAAACCTTACCATTTGTAGTGTCACAGCTTAAGTTTAGTTTCTTCAAACGCTATTGTTATCAATATTCACATCTTTAATTATTATTATTGCTCGTGAAGACACATGAAGAATATAATTAGTACTCATCCCTCTCTACCATTCCTTGCTTAATCCATATCATTCTATGCATTGAGGAATCTTTAACCAACCATTTGATCTGATTTGCAGTTATATTATTTCCATCACCCTATGTTATCTAAATTTATTGTGATTTTTAATTTCATAATTTCACTGACGAAGTGCCTTCCACATATCAGTCAACAGGGATGCAAGGACAAATGAAGATACATAGATCTACGAAGATAACCAATCATAAGCATGATCATTAGGATAAATTGACTACCCGTCTGTTGAGTGACTGAATAGCTAACTTCTACAGAGAATTAAGAGCCGACGATACTGTCGCGAACGACAAAATTAGCTTTGCAATTAAACCATCTAAGTTGGAGAATACAACAACACCAAAAATATAATCTTTATGATAAGCAATAATACATGTGTAAAAAGTGTTATCAATGCCTAAAAAACATTCACAATAGAAGAGTGAATCAATAAAGAACAGAAAGCAGTAAGAGAAAAATGAAGAGTTCAAAAAAATTATTATACGGTCTTTGATAATCACTTATTCACAAAAGGTTGTGTATGTGTATGAAAGAAAAAAAAAGGAAACGTATAGATGGAATTACAGAAACAAATAACACAAAAGTGACAAGAGAAAAGAAATATCACCGTCAAATAAAACATGAAATACTCCAACAACAACAACAACAAAATACGAACATACTTTTACTATTAAAATTTCCTTTCAATTAGCTGGCTTCAAACTTAATCACATGACTATGATGTTTCTATGCATTAAAAAAATATGGTGAGTGAAATGGGCAGTAACCGGAACAAAGTTTTTCTTTTTTTTAAAAAATAAATAAATAAAAACGAAAACAAATATAGAATGAATGACTGAAAGGAAGTAGTAAAAAGTAAATAAATTCGTTTTTTTTTAAATTTATGGAAGTTCTTATTATCTTTATCATCATTATCATCATCATGATAAGTGTTCTTAATTTTTAAAGAAATAAGTATCTATTTTGTTGAAAATTTTGTACAAAAGTTATTGTCAACAAAAATTTCATCTATAACTAGAGTGTGTAATACTCCATACACAAACACACACACACACACACCATAGTGTCAACAGTTACACCAACTACCTTATTTCAATCTACCACTACTACTATCACTGCTACTAGTACAGATACACAAACAGCATGATCATATTAAAAAATAATTAAAATACATGGGTAGTTAATATCGACAAGAACAATAACAGAAGATAAAGAAAATGGGGAGGGGCAAGGGAGGGAAATGCTCAAATTGTGTACAGTATAGTGAATTTGATCTTTTATCTTATACATATTTCTATATGTATTCTAACACATGAAACAATAATTTCTTTTGCACAATGATGATTATAATGATACTTTATTTTAAAGGGATCTAATTAGAAAAAAAAAAGTGAAAAATACAAAACAAAACAAACAAACTATAAAATGAATGCAAAAGAAAACAAAAGAAAAACTCACCAGTTGTTATGTAATAATAATCTGGCGCATACACAATAGAAAAAAATTTCTTTATGTAAAATAAATTTGATGAATTTATTTTATTTGTAAAAAAAAGAGAAAAGTAGATAAAAAAAAGTCTTATCTTGAAAATATGTGTATTATATATAGATATATGAGATTATGTTTTTTTCCTCTATTTCTCATGAGTATTTCGATCGTTTAGCATATTTTGGAAGCACATTAGGTGAGTTTTGAGATTCAGCTGTTTTTATGAAAAAGTTTAAAAAAAAATGAAGGAAAAAAACTCACTTTAGATAATTATCAATGAAAGTGACAGAATATAAAATATTTAAAAATAAATAAAACATAATTAGATCCGAGTTCAATTTCATTTCACCCTGCCCCCAAATGCTCTGGTACGGCTGAGAGTGGGGAGAGTCCGCTCACCCTCTCGAAATGCTCTCACATGGCCACGCGTATATAGCCTCTGTCAGGGAAGTCCTACTCACTGACTTCTCGCAATGGGGTGTTGTTTACGAAATCGAAAGGACGAAAAGCGAATGTCCGGCGCTTTAACCGGATCACAAATCAATGGTGCACATGAGCTCCAGTATCCTGCGGGAACAAATGGCGTATAAAACCAATCGTTGGTCACCGGCTATCATGGGATTGCATCTCCTCACGATGCTCTATTGCCGTGTGGATCAGACCTTCAGGTTGAAGGCTCGGAGAAGGGCTCCCTAAGAAAACCACCTGCTTCGGTTTGGGTACCCGGGCATTATCCCAGCCCTCACATAAATCGAATGACGCATATGTATTCAGTGACCCTTTGTACCAATATCTATGTGTTTAAACAAATAAGTAAATAAAATCAATTCACCCAACTATAAGAGATTACTCTCAGTGAATCTGGAGTAGTATTCAATGAGAGGGAAGGAAATCATATGTCTAATAGTCAGTAAGCTGCGTGTTGACCAATCACGTTTACTTCTACTATTACATGTCACGGTGTGAATCTCGCTTCATTCAACTTTAGAATTTAAACAGCTAGCTAATGCGTATTATGTGAACGCTTATAAAAAAAATTTGATATAAAATTATGTACTTTGCAAATGAATTAAATTATATACACTCAGCAAGATCACTGGATGATTTATACAATTCATCTTAGCAATTTTATTCTAATCTTATAAACAATATTAGTTTAACTGGTTTAATGCAGTGTTCAAGGTGGTTGACTGATTGTACACAATTACATCTTTCGAAAGAAAATTACAGTGGAGTTCAATGATCATGATTTACCTAGTTTCATTTGAACATTCTTTTATCGAAATGGGATTATTAGCTGACGATTCTCAAGTGGGATGAAACTCATATCCTATCTTCCACTACTAGCTATAATTCATCTATAATAAAGAATACATGAGCTAAAACACCGTTATGTTGGACATTTTATGACGATTTTAGAATGATTTTGTTCCAGAGATTAATCAACGATGAATATCGACATGACAGAGACTAATGACGGCTTTATTTATGCTTGATATATAGAAATTTCCATTGTGAAACACAACAGTTTGAATAAGTGTATGCATATCCATATTGTTCAAGCATATATATATATATACATATATATATATATATATATATATATATATATATATATATATATATATATATATATATATAGAACTTTGAGAACAAGATCCTCTTGTTTTCTACCTCCAATAAATACTTTCTGCTTTTGTTTAGTTTATTTAGATGTCGGGTCATTTTTAGAAGATAGTAAATATTAACTCTGTCTATTAGAATACTTTGATATTGCCTTAATGATAAATCTTCTAAATAAACGCTTGATTCGGTTTTCTAAGCTCTTTTAGTAACCTCCAGGCTAAATCTACACGGTAACGTGAACACGGGAGAAAAGGCGCGAAATATGGAAAGAACGTTTTGCTCCCACGGTTCATTTATGTACAGAAAATCTAGGGTATTTATAGCATTTTAGATAACATTGGGCTTCTGGAAAGTTTTGGAGCGCTACTAAACATAGTAACAGGTTAGGTAATCATCCAATCACAAGTGTGATATATGGCTTTTCACCTTCTAAATGTTTCTGGTAAACTTCTATCGCATGCTGATTGGGTAAGATGTTTCTCAGAGTTTCCAGGGCCCTTTGGGCTTTTTATCGAGGAAGTTTCTGAGTCTCCCCAACACTCGACGTCATACACTAAATTTTGATAACCGAAGACGGGTAATCAGGAAGATAGTAATAATAAAACCATGAGTCAATCTAAGCTCAACCACGACTAAAAACTTGAAAGCACTAAACGGCTTCTTTGTCCTTCGTAGTACTCATCCACAATTCCCTACGAAGGGATCCTACCCAGGACGTTCTGTCTCACTTACGAACGCTTAACCTCTAGACCACTGAGTCGACATTCAACGGAGTTAATGTTTAGCCTCAACCAATACACGATGTCGCGCGATCATATTCCATGGTTTTCGGTGCGTAACTGCTTCACAACCGACACGGTTGAACTCCATTGGTGACGGCTTCTCACTAGAAATCTAGGTTTGCAATGATGGTCGAACTTAGAGCGGCTTATGATTTTAATAGAATTTAGCAATCTCCACAATCTCAGACTGAAAGTAATAATATTTGACAGGTAAGTGAAGTACCATATAGAATGAAACATAAATATGCTATGAATTTCATGAGTATCGATCGCTAATGAAAAACAGTACATACATAGATAACCATTGAACTAACCACCTATGCATGCATGGCAAGTCAAAGTACTATCTACTTTATTATGAACACAGAGATTTATATTTTGAAGAAAATCGAAAAAAAAAACAAATAGTAGTGTCATTTACAACAGCTGCGAAAAAAAGAATAATAGCCGATAGATTTCTTTTTTATTCAACTGCTTGTTTGTTTTTCTCTTTAAGCGATTTCATACAAACTCTTCCATATTTATGAATTTTAAAAGAACAAAGATAACAATTCGTTCCAGCTGCTTACAACCTGTATTCGCATAATTGTAATACTTGTTTTTTTTAAAGATTGACACGAGTACATATATATATATATACGTGTGTAGTACCTTTTTCTCGGCTGATTTTAGGAATTTATTGTAGTGATATATATGTCTGTCGGTGGTCAAACGTTAAGAGTTACGCAGTTGGGAGTGAATGATCGAATTACTCAAATCTTTCCCAATTTAAGGGTCATAAAATTTCATCGTATTTTTTTAAATTTAAATAAATGTGAAACATTTGTTTGTTCTTGGCAAAGATTGTGATATCTATATCATTCATGGTGAAATTATGCCGTCATGTTTCTTAGTGTAACTAACCATGTTTATCAAACATAAGATAGTATTACTGTTAAAAAAATTGTGACAATCATATAATATATTGCTTGCCATTAATGATCTATTTTGAAATTATTTCACCTATGGATTAGACATTTTGTAAAGATCTATTCATACATGCTTTGCACTATCCTATAACAAATATTCAGTTAAAATAATACCTAAATCATATCTCTTCGAATAGTGCATATACTTATTTGGTATTAAACTGACTACAGCTTGAAATTTACGGTGCATTTACTATAATTTTCGAAAAATATTATTATTGTTATTACTATTGTGGGACAGCTTTATCCCTAATTTATAGTACGATTTAGATAATTTATAATTAAATTTAAATAAGAAAGGGAATGTCCACAGTGTAAAAACCATTAACTAATACTACTAATAACGGGGAAGTTTTTAAACACAATAAAAAACAATAGAGAACATACATTCACAATATGCTGAAATCGTATCCATATTTATACATGATGATTGACTAACAAGTACAGGTTGAGTAATTAATGAATTTTGATTTTCAGCATTTATATTAGATAATGACGATGATGATGGTATGGAAGTAGGCGTAGGAGGACTATGACTAAGAGGAAATAAAGGAGGCTCTCGAGATGTTGGAGGAGCTGGTGACAATGATAAAACCTGATGTAATCCTAACCGGTAAAATATATTAGCAGGAGAAAAAGTATGCCAAAGTGGATGATGAGTATCTGGAGAATCTGTCGATGAATTACCATTGTTATTGTTATTATTTCGATGACCATCTAAACGACCTATAATTTAATACGAGAAAAAACAATAAAAATGACTAGAATGAATTAAAACTTCCAAAAGAACGAGAATATAAAATTTTAAGGCTAAACAGTCAACGAAAAGTAAGCTTACAGAATCATTGAGTGAAAAATGTTGAGATAAGGGTAAGTAAAAGTAACGAATCAGCTGGCAAGGTTGTACATTCTCATTGGGTGAGGTAGTTACACTATGTGTTACGTATGCCTGACTATCACCTACCTTGTTAGGCAATGTTAGATAGTGTAGGTGTAAATTAAAAGAAAGCTAAGGATGACTAAACTAAGTGAACGCATCAGGTCTAGGAAGTCACTGAATGTTGGACTGAACTATGTTGGTAAATGCAAACCGCTATTAATGGTTAGAGACGTTGGACGAAGTAATTCACAATCGATCACAGAGATGCATTGATTCTTCACTTTTCTCTAGATCTTCAGTCCCAGTATTACTTCATCTATATTGTTTCCTTCCTAAATCTCGAACCATATTCTCAGTGATTAGTTTTCTCATTATCGTTTTTACCGTGATTATTTCGACTCTTTCGACAATTATCTTGTAAATTTCATAGCGTTATGCTAATGTGGGGATGAAAACTTGGGCCAATGCACATCTGTGCCAGGATCGAAATTGACTATGATTGACGACAACCGTTTTGTCCAAGTTTGATGTTCCTTAGGAGTGGTGAGAAACTGCGAACTTGCATAAAACCGAATCCACTAAATTTATATCTTGAAACATGCAAAATACTTTCAGATTCCTCCATAGGGTTCAGAGGATTTATGAAATAGCATATTTCTAATTAAATTTCATTATCAAAGGATAATTATTTCATTCCTGACAAAACTAAACTACACCAGACAGGAATTTGTATTAGAACTTTGAAGATCTGCCTCGAAGCTAGTTGCAAATGAGCATATGGTTATAAACTAAGTATTTGAAGATTATTCAATTAGTACGTAGTTTTTAATAACCAATAGACTTCAGATATCCAATACCTTATAGGTTTTCAATGACACATAAATTGAAGTCATTGCGTAATGAAATTTGAACAATATTCATGAACAACTTATCCTAACGGTAAATTAAGAATCAGTAAATCGGTACTGAACATTTAGATCCACTATTGATAAGATGGAGATTTAATCAGAATAAAATGAACAGTAAAACTTTTTAGGATCAAATGTCTGATAATACAAGTTATGATGAATGGAAGAATTCAACAGGTAATTCACTCATATTTATTGAGAAAAAACGTTTAAACAAAATGACAAGACAAACATGATTCTCTACAACGCCAAAAGAAACCATCTTTATGAATGCTGGTAATGTAAATGATAATGGAATAAGGTAAATGAGATTATTTTTACAATCTTGCGAAAAAACCTTTTGATCTGTTAAGTTTTATATTGTATTCTCCAATCTGTAATTGACTAAGGAATATATTAAGTATAAACTGTTAATTTGTAGCATTCTAATATATTTGATAAAGCTTACTTGATCTTACAACCAGGTTACATTAATCACACAAATTGTGCGGCTTAGAAAAGTTTTTCGGAATTTCTAAACATGAAGTACAGTACTAACTACTCATAGGTAACATTGATATTACCAGTTCAAATCTTTGGTTTTTCAACAAGTTGATTTTCCCTATAATTATGATGCAAAGTGTTTGGAATTTGAACCATTTCCCATCTAGAAATTAAGCGGGGAAATTAGTGACAAAGTTAGCTTTATCGTAATACTGTTGCTGCTCTAAAGGTTACAGTCTGTTGAACGTTAAAAATGAGAAATTACGAAACCAGTCCTAATAACTTAATACACATTGGACAAGTTAGTGGTTATTCAGACTCAGTAGCCCAATCGATATCGCAACGGCCATTGGAATTGAAAGACATTGGATTCAAGTCCAAATGTGAACATTAAAACTGACATTCAAGGATAGTCAACTAATGAATATTAAGTATGGTGAAACACACGTTCTGAGTTACATCCTACTAGCCCAATATATGAAATATACTGAAACCATATTCTTTTTTCGTTTAAATCTAAACAAAAGTTTCATAAAGAAATAAATCAAACAAAGAAACAAATCAATCTACCAAGTTCATTGATCACTTCCGGTGTTGACAAAAAATATCCATTTGGTATACTAGTTTGTCGTAAAACTGTCGAACTACAAGTTGATGGTAATTTCAAATGTTTCAATGCCGGGATTCTTTTTTGACGTGACTGATTCTGTGACTGTTTTTGTTCTTTTTGCTGTGAATTTTCTTCTTCCATATTTAATTCATCACAGGAATTTTGTGTAACATTTTTGTTGCTATCATTGTTGTCATTACTATCACTACTAGTAGTAGTATTAGTAGTACTAGTACTGTTTAGATGATTGACATGATTGATACAACTTACTTCTGACTTTGTCACTGTTATAGTTTTACACAATAATGTTGACGGTATTGAAGCCGATGGCAAACAATCTAAATCAACAATATCAGGTAATGTTGTTTGAGTAGGTGCATCGATTTTCTGAATAATTACCATTGGTTCCGATGATAGATTATAATCAGAATTCATACATTGTTGTGAAATAACATAATGTTTGTTAGGGGGCACAGGTGTAGTAAGCGGACTATTAGTTGAAACAGTAATGATAGGCTATGCAATCCATACATATGTGATAGAAAACAAATAGTAATATAGACATATTTAGGGTGGAGTATACAATGAAAAGAATAATTATTAAATAACTGAAGTTGTAGTATCATTTGTGGAAGACGTAATTGCTGAAATATATATATATATATATATATATATATATATATATATCAGTATAGGGTTGTGGAGATTGATGAGATCGAAGGTCCTGGGTCCGAGCCCCGTGTGCAAGATCGCGGATGCTCACTGCTGAGAAGTTCCATATTAGGATGAAAAGGTTGTCTAGTGCTTCTAGGTTTTCAATGGTAGTCTAGCATCGATAAGTTCATGATCTTAATACATCAATTTATACGGAATTATCTGAACAAAACGTTTATGGTTTAATTTAAACAATTAGTCAGTCAGTCAGCAACAATGTAGAACTCTGCACGTATGTACATCAGTCTAGGTCGCCACACCACATTAGCACAGAGACACAATTGTCGATTTAAATCCCATAGCGGTAGAGGTGTAGTGAACAAGAATACGAGTGGGGACAATCGAATGTAATTGAATACAAAATTACAGATGTCACTAAAATTTGAGAACAATACAGTAAATACTTAATTTGCAAAATATTAATCGATTGTTTCAAACTTGACCGTTTCTTTTACAAATATCAGTCTATTGTCTCAGATTTCATTGTTCCTGCATTTTTATACCAATCGCTTTCCGATCCTGTTCTTTCCTTCTCGATCTACTGAAATACGTTCTATTCCTGACTATCGTTATATACTACTTATGGGATATAAGTAGCTCACACCACAGAGGTAGTAAAAGTATAGACAGTAATCGGAAAGATTAGGGTTCGAAGATGATATTCAAGGAGTATAATCCAGTGAAATAAATTTGGAAAAGGAAAAAAGGACATGAAGAATTCAGAAGATTAGAATTTGAGAGGACAAAACACTGGATGCACCTGCGCTATTGCAAACGATTTTGAGCAATATCATTCAAAGTCTCTAACCATCGGTCGCTATCATCTCGCGGATCCCAACCAGGTAGTCTACACCTACCAATATGGCTCAGTCCACTTGTCAGTGACTTCATGGATTTGTGTCATGTTTTGGTCTGTTTGACCTTAACTTTCTTCCAACCTACTCTTACATCATAAAACATTGCTCGTCGGGACAGTCGGTGGTTAGGCATAGGTAACACACGTCCCAGCCATCGCAACTGATGAGGTTTCACTACTTCATCAATTGAATCGCTTTCCTTACCTAGTACCCGTTTCCTAACAACTGCATTACATACTCGGTGGTCCCAGGATATACGAGCAAATGATATTATTGCTGTGGTGGAGCGAATATAAAAAGTGTAACAATTAAGATTAATTCACGGATTTTAATTTTATAGCTAGCAGATAACTACATCGTTACAGCTTCATATTCGCATAATTGTTATCTTCCAGTGAACCTATTAAATATCGTTGTGTGTTTCACTATCCCGTAATTATATTAAACTAATTGTGTACCGTTTGCTTCGCTCTTTGTCATATATGACATAATTGTTTGTAAAGTATTTCATATTTAGTGTGTTTGTAGTCTGGTGGTTCACATATATAAGCCAGTGAGTTTTTGGGATAGCTTCGGGGTAGTCGAAAACAATAATAAAAGCAGGGCTGCTTTTTTCTTCTTTCAGACTCAAGGCTGGGGATCAACGGACCAGTAAAAGCGAAGCATAAGTTAGCCTCAGCTCAGGGTTAAACTGTGATGGTCGGAACGTATCGTTGGTCAATTCCTTGGACAGTAGATTAAACACTGAATAGCATATGAGGGGTTGAAATATTATGATCGGGATTCTGATTAGCAAATCTAACAGATGATATCGATTAACGTCTTAGGCATAACATGTACACGCAAGAACAAACCTCTAGAATAATTTTGAGCTTCACTTCCAAACTCAGTGATTCACCATTTGCTACTTAGTAGTAAGATGAAATTAGCCATTATTACTATGGAAAGTGAATGATATAGAGTCTACACTTATTCATGTTCAGCCGGAATATGCAAAACAGATTATTAATTGTGAAATTTAATAAATCAACGAGGTATGTAACTATGTTGTTATAACTTGAACTAAACATGAATAATAGTAGACTGGTAATAGCAATGACTAAACGAATTTTTAATGTAAATATTAGTAAAGTAACTAATGATAATAATACGTTAGTTTGGAAAAATTGACCGTTCCCTATATAGAGTACAACCAATCCTGTTGGGACATTGACAATGGTAGTGATAAAATTATTGATTTACTTGGAAAAAAGAACAATACACAAAGGTTACTACACAACTGAGATAACAACAGACGGGTAATGCTGACCATAATATCAAGTTGTAGAAGAAGCAAGATAAAATGGTACCGATAAAACAAGGAATAAACTGCAGAATAGAAAAAAACAACTGAGAGGAAAGGCTAGACAACTAATTTTTCACATTGATTAATTGATTGTTCAGCAGAGATCAAAGCTGATTTTATCTAGTAGTCCATAAGACATGGATAAATTCTAATTCAACAACTGAAATGCATACAATCTATGTTTTCAACTAGAAATATGTATGAAAGCGGTAAAAAGTCAGATTGTTTGGAAAATTGATTAATATTCAATTATCAGAAAGAGATGTTTGAGATCAAACTCAATTTCGCGTTGTTGTTCGAATGTGGTTACAGTCACAAATAATTTATTACTCAACCGGCTGCCTCTTTATATATAATATTTAAATGGAAAGAAACCATGTGTCTAGATGTATTGAGCACATATTTCGATAACACTTAAATCAATTGCTATTTATTCAATACTTATGATCTTACCCTCGAAATTTATTGTTCGAAGTAGAGAAAAGAAAAGCCACAAACATTTTAGTGTCAGCCACAAATTGTGATAAACAAAATGGTTTCTAATTATAACATTCTCGTGAAAAATTGTCCACAACTGCACTTAGCTCAGTGATAAAGTAACTTGGTTAACGCTGATAACCGCACTGGTAAACGCTGGTTGCATGAATAAACAATAAATATCAGTATATTCATTAAATACGTTTTAGCAGTTTATGTGGCCCGCCTGGCATTATTTCTATGTGGTCACTTGATAAAGGTTTATTCACTTCTGATCTAGTTCATGATAATGATCGAATTCTGTTCATCAAATTGCAATGTGACCACTACTCTATGTGACTCAACATAGTGTACATTATCTTTAATTGACAGCTGGTTGGGTTCGATCGGAATGAAACCCTAGACGTATGCTAAATCTTGAGGGAACTGATGTTTCTCATACGATCTGAACCCACATTATTTAGTGTTTATTTCCATCAGACTATTTTATATCGAAAATAAGAGAATGGAATGTAATCAAAAATACATTAAATCTTGGAATATTTTTGGTATTTTTTGAATTCTTTAAGCTTGATGGTCTAATTGTAGAGCAATAATTGTAGTTTCGGATAACGACAACACCGATTATGTAACATAAAAGCGAGTTTATTCCACGAGTCTCAAATCTGTTTAATCTGGTGATTTTGTTTGTGATTAGTTGTCTTCATGGGTTTTATTGTCGTTATTTGTTTTTGTATTCACGTTGACTATCTTATTCTGTTGACCACTGAGCATGTTGTTGATAAAGGTTTTTTTTTGATGAGCCAATAGATCAAGCATAATTCAGTGTGCTGTTGATTGATATGAATACCATGCTCCCACAAATTTCTGAGGATCATGTCAGTCCTAACACTCTGACAGTAGTGATGAATAGTATGTAGGTGGAGTGATTAAAATGTAAACCTAAAACAGTTATTACAAAATCAACAACTAGTTCATAAAAACGGTTTATATAAACTTAAAACTACTTACTTTATCCATATTAGTAACTGGATTTGTTGTGAAGTGATTGACAAGATTTTCGTATACACCACTTCTATAATCATCCATTTGTCCGTGTTGTTCACATGAATCAGAATAGTTATGTCTATTACTTAAATGTGGCAAATCTTGAGGTCCAAGTTTGACAGCTACAGACAGAAAAAAAATATTACTTCATTTTTTCACAGTAAAGATTACAGATATGGAAAAAGATTTTAATCGGTGTCAAGATTTCATCGGCCACCAATTTAAGAGGAATGATAAGACTTTTAAGCTAAGTGAAGAGGCCAACTCGCTTAACTATCTCATTCTCTATGATAAAACTGAGAACTGATGCGGAAACATTTTGAATTTATAGGGAAAGGAACGGATACTAAACATTTTTATATCGTTATTTATGGCGTTCAAAAGACTCTGGATTCTGTAAGAACCTTCACTAAAGAGAACTATATCATCTAATTCCACAGATAGGTAACCAATCCTTGAAAAGTAAGATGTTACTTCTAGGAGCACATTTATGAAGTTAAATAAAAACAAGACGTATGCAGATCTAAAAATACCACTAGATCTAAACAGATCAAACACAATCAACAGTTTTTGACTAAAGAGGCTTTAGTAGGTCAATATAATTTTTGACACACTTATCAAGAGTTCTAGGTAGATAGAGTTGAATGTTTCTCCCTGAGAATCGAGTTATGTGCTTACGGATGTATATAAGCCACTTATTATCGAGTAAAAGTGAAACATCGGTATAATGAGAGGAAATACGTAGTCACAAGAATAAAGAAAGAGGGATACAATGTTAGTAGTCTGATTATCCTTTCGCCAGAGAAAAATACGAAACGAAAAATAAGCAATATGGAAATGAAGCCTAGCGAATCAAAAAAGTTTGACGTGGCGTTATGAAGATAGAACTCGTTAAATAAATAAATAAAACTCGTCAAAAGCTCTGCCTGTAGCTCTTCCAGAGTTACTGCCGGTCCCAAGCCCGGGTAAAGGAGGAGGGTTGGGTATGGGGTTAGAGACCCCATCCCGTAGAAAACTAACTCGCTAAAAAAACGCTAACCAGTAAACTCGTTCTGATAAACGATTTTCAACTGTTAATTAGTTTAGCTGTTCAACTTTCAGTTACGAATTTCTGGGTTCGAAACTCACTCAACCTACTTTAGTTTGGGTAACTAAGCGTTATCATTATATCGGATACTTAAATTGTAGCGTACATTCAAGTACCTAGTAAATAAGTAAATTAATTAATATTTTTAATCAACTTTCAATCATACTTGTGAAGTCTATAAATACTGTTTAACCGGCCAAATTAATGTAAGAGAAATGAGATTTAATACTGTAACTAGTTGATTAAAAGTTGAGTAATTTCACTGTTTACACAACTAATTTGTAGTACTATGTGATGGTAAGTTTGATTTAGTTGAATTTCATAAAGTTTCTATTTAGAAATTAAAAGAAATGGTAGATATAGCTCTGAATTGTCTAATGAATTATCTATGACAAGTTCTTTTTCATATTTATGTCTTAATTTAAAAGTAGATTATACGTTAAAATTTGAATAATTCATTACTCTTAAGTAAATTAATTTATTTGAACAAACTGACTACTCTAATCAATATTATGGAAAATACAAATATACACAAAATCTAGGTGTATGTGTAATGTTTGAATATTTCCAACGGAATTTTTTCTTAATATTAACTTCATTATTATCTACGTGATTATCGTCGTTTAAGTAACCAATAATAATCGGTAAGACAATGATGATAGCTACGTCATTAAACAAATAAAATAATTCACGGGATTAGATTTAAATACATATGTAATATTTGTATAATATGATGTAAATATATATATATATATACCATGTGGATCAGTTGTGCAATACCATAAGAGAGATAAACAGACAGGTAAATAGATAAATAGATAGATAGATAGACACATCAATATATTTTTTTGGTGAAATAATAAAGAAGTTTGGCTGATGTATCAAAAACAAGCATAAATAGACACTATATAATCATGAAAATGCAATACACGTAGTCATAGTTACATATGCTTATGCATTAGTAACAGTAACACACATAAGTATGTCTATTTACATAAATTGGATACAACTATGCTAATTGGAAAGTCAATCTTATTACCTATTTTAACTATTAAAAAAAAAAACTGAAATTAACATGTGATTTTAAAAATAGCACATTTTATTGAAAGATAAAACAAAAATTATTATTATTATTATTATTTTTGATTCTTCTATCATGAACATCTATCCATCTCTGTGTGTATGTTCAAAGAATTTTTTTTTAATTAAATGATAAACTGATGGATAATACATTTCTATAATGAAGAATTCTATCAATATAATACAACTACTGATGACTTCAAAAAGTGAAAAAAAAACACACAGCTTACGTATTTACTTAATCATTCAATTTTTATGGTTATTAAAGTATAGGCTCGAAAATACAATGCAGTGGATCAATAAACAAGAGTATGTAAATCAATAAGCGGATGTTGAGCTGAAATTTTTCATGAGTAAATTCAAGATACACTGTACAGTTGACCATTTAACAAAGTGTAACTTAACTATACGTTTACTGATTATTACTGGTTGACAGAGTGATATTTAATTTGTTTATAATGGTTGACGTTTTTTTAGCAAGGTTGTTTTTCACAGGTTAGGGTTGCTGATCCCATACCCAACCATCCTGCTTTATCCGGGCTTGGGACCGGCAGTAACCCTAGAAGAGGTACAGGCGGAGTTGACAGGACGATATATTTAGTTTATTTTATCAGATATCTGCAGTCCTGAATAAACGTTGAACAGACAACAACCCAGAAAACAACTATAGTTATTCATAACCAGTGATCTTGATTACTTGGCTGATCAACTGATTGTATGATTGCAAAATATATAACATTACGTGACATTGGTTAGGAAACTATTTAATGAATGATTTGCACGAAATTGAATTAATTCTGTTGGATGGTCAAGTGTAAACAAGGAGATTATTATATTAATGTGGTATAGATTCAAAGACATGATTCAACGGTCAATTGTCTAGATCGTAAAGGTCCAACTGTAGGAGGCTGCTTAACAAATAAAACTAACACATAACTACCCAGAATTTTATATATCAAAACCGAGTGCAGAGAGATGAAAAATCAATGAGATCCATAACATAGGAGAGGAGTAAGTATATAACCTCAATAGCAAACTGAACATAAGACGTTAAATAAACAATGAAGTCAGATTGAAGGATGAGAAAGGACTAACGCAAATTTTGATATAGTGGGCAAGGTCTTAAAATTGATTAAGCAATAAGAGCCGTAAAAAAATTGACATTTATCAATCGCCTATGGGATTCAACCACATTTATTTCCCTGTTTCTTAATTATGTATGCTACAGTGGGATCGAGACCAATCTCAGATGTTTTGGGAAAACCCAAGGATACAATTATACTAAAAATCAACCTAAATTAAACTGCATATCTAGGGTGGGTGACATATTTTTTATCATCAGGAGAAACCAACTGTAAAATGTCCACGAAATGACTACCAATATCTTCAAACACAAACTAGCAGTAAGAAGATATGACATATTACCACTTATATCAGTGAACTCAGACAACTATGGATATGAATTCAATTAGAAAAGCGTCAAAATTATGGATCGGGAAAATTCGAAGAATGCCAGAGCTCCTAAAAACACGTTCTTCATTTCAATCTATAATCATTAAGCATATCCACATGGAACCAATCTACCAGTTTGTGTGAAAAAGATCAATGAACCATATGATCAACAGAAGAAAATGTTCGACAGGAATATTAAGCAAAATGAGGTGGACTAGACCTATCAAAAAACAGCCATTCATGGGCAAGGTCATTAGAATAGTCCTACTTAAGGTTTATGGATTACTAATTAAACAGTTCACTTTTACGTGAAACAAGAGCTAATGATATTGAAAATAAAAACTTCGTAATAAAAAAATCTTGCTCAAAGAAACAATACAGTTGAAAATTTACATTCGTCTTCCTTTTATTTTCTAATTCGATATTATGGTGCAGCTGCATGATGATAGGATATTAGGCAATGACAATGAATGGTTTAATGAAGCTGTGAACCTCTATTAACTGAGGTAGTTAGAACAGTGACTTAGTGGTTAGGTCACTTAGATTCCGGTTATTAGGTCGTCTATTCTAACAGATTCTTTAATTTTGTGTTTAAATACATTTGGTTGTACCCACCTGTGTTTTCGTTCACTACAATACCATTAATGCGACACAAAGTTTATTATTGTGAATGCATGGACATTTTCGGTAAGTTTGCTACAACCCATACTACTTCTACATTATTTGAACAATGAGGGAAAGAGAAATAGGAATAAGAACTTTATTCCAAGGTAGAAAATCAAGTGTATTCAGTTTCTTGTGGACTTCATCCCATAGAAAATTTTGGAAACACATCAAATGTAGTATCGACATTAATTACCCAATTACAACGTAATATATTATCCTTAATTTTTCCAGACGTTTACAACTGAGTAGTGATTATATGAAACATCCTCACACGTTTTCTGAAACATTATTATTATTGAAACACATAAACACTGGTACAAGGAGACACCAAATATATATATGCGCCACACAAACCACTGGATCTGTGTGTTAACTGGGATACTCCCCGGGTGCCCAGACAGAAGCAGGTAGTTTTCCTAGGCGGCCAACTACCGTGTCTTTGACCTAGAGGTCTAATCCACAAGATAATAGAGCAACGTTAGATTATGCAGTCCCATGGCAGCCGGTGATCAACAATAAATTCACACGCCATTTGTCCCCTCAGGATCCTGGAGCCCATGTGCATGATTGGTTTGGAATTAGGATTTTCCAACTTCCCTAGGTAGATTCCTCTGAACCTGCTAACCCGGACATTCGCTTTTCGTCCTCTCAATTTTACAGAGGGTAGGAATACCCTGGCAATGGCTGTATACGCATGGCCATGTAAGAGCATTTCGAGAGGGAGGGAAAGCTCTCTACATCCTTGGCCGTACCAGGGGATTTGGGGACTCGGGACCCCTATAGACTTTGAAGAGCGACATTTTAGGAATACCCAACACATTTCATCTTGACTAAATACCGGATCTTCAAAATGTTTAGAAATATGTAATCGATATTTTATATATTTTAGCCAGCTATACTTTTAGGTTGCAATCAACCTAATTATGAATCCTATTTAGAAACTATACATTAAGCTCAAATCTCCCAATTTTCAATGGTTCCATTACACAGAGCAAAAATTTTAACTACAACATGTCAAGTAAATTATCAACTACTAATGAACATTTTTAGCGAACTAACTGACACTTAACAATTAATGTTATTCACAAGACAATAAGAGATTAAATAATTAAAAATCATAGTAATTTCTCTAAATGAGTCAATAGAATCTTTAATTAATTCATTAATATACTTCAATATTAATATAAAAAGATGATCCGAGTTAATATGAATAAAATATTCACCAATTATACTTTTTTTTCTTTAAACTATACACACTGTTAGTTAGTGTGTAACATAGAAAAGTGAAAGTTGTTTCAATGTGTACATTCACAAAGTTGTTATGTTTTAGAAGATCACAGGAATTATTATTATCACTATTGTTGTTTGACTTTAAAACTAGAATTTTGAATTTTACATAAAACATTAATAATAGAAATAAACAACAACACAGAACTTAATACATATTGTTAAATTATTCGGTGATCTATATCAATTGTGTTGAATAACTTATAAACTACAATATGTAAAATCAGTTAGTCATAATCAATATAGCGCCTGACATAAATATAGATCAGTGTAAGTCTCTGAACTACCGCACCAGCATAGGCAACATGATAATATTATCAATGATAGTTTAAATAAGAGATTAAATAGAGTTCGAAAAGAAAAAATAAATTGGCGGAATAAAAAGAAATATAAAATATTTACTATCATAAACTGTTGAGTCGGCTTTCGAAGAACTTCAACGGAGCCTCCAGAGGCCCAAAAGAAGCCGAAGAGTCCTAGCCAATCAGAGCACGATGGAGCATTCTAGAATTCCAACGTGGCGTACTACTATTGGTCAGTAGCATAATATGTCGTTAACGGATTGGTCGAAATATGATGTTGATTTAACAAACGCTAACATCTATAAATACCCATGTTTTCTGTACAAGAACGAACCTTGGAGTAAAGTGTTTCTTTCATACTTTGCGTCTTCTTTCTGGTGTTCAGGTCGCTGTATAGTTCTAGCGTGTGGGTTATCAGAATAGCTTAGGAACGAATATAGCGTCTAAATCAGCAAGACTTAACAAAAACCTAGAGAAGAGATTAAGTAGATGAATTTGCACTACAACCAACAATTAGCATCGAACGTTTTACCGAACAATGGTTTATTTCTGGAAGAAAACCAGAATCCAATGTATATAGCCATTTTATAAAAATATCAATCAACAAGACTATTTCTGTACACACATCTCAGACTAACAGTCGAAGTGTCATATTCTAGTCCATAAGCACTATTAGCATTATTCTTAATTCCTCCTATTTTATTTATCATGATACTCTAACATGGACAGCTGTTGAGAGTGTATGGTGCGTGTTACAACGACCTCACTCATTAAAGTCTGATAACCTCATTATCCAGTTTAACTAACCTCATGACCAAATTACTATTTGTAAGTTGTGTTGAATTTGCACAAGCAAGCAATCATTTAAGGTTGCATAATAGAAATGTACTACTGCTTCTCAGTCAATCAGTCATACGCAACGCATAACCTGACACACATGGGTATCAATTCGAGTTATCAATCCACATTAGCACGGTGAGATGAAATTTTTAAGAAAAGTTGCAAAGTAATAGAAGTAGTAACACTACCAGTAGTTGTAAAAAAAAGATAAGGTGTAGAAAGGAAAAAAGTACAAAAAGATGTCGAGAGTCAGGTTCTAAGAAGAGACAAAGTGAATATTTCTGAGTCACTGGTAAGGATTTTGAAACATTGAACTTAATGTCTCTAGCCGTGAATTATAATACTCACACAGACACAAACCAGGTTGTCGCGTTCTTTGTATGGATTCTGACTTCATTCTATTCAGGGAAAATTATTTATTTTAGGAAGTTTGCACATGCATTTACTTTTACAAACATGAAACTAAAAAAGAATTCAGAAGCAAAGGAAAGAAATGTAGTGGTATTTATCGGAAACAGTCGGTCATAAGCAACGAAGAACCTAGTACTTGTGTGGGTCAGTCTAAGTTGCCATATTACATCATCACAGTAAGATGAATACCAAAGGAGAAGTAGTAGCATGAATGATAGGAAAGAATATCAAGCATAGGGGATATGACTTGAGAAGAACGATTTAACTCAAGGAATTGTAAGTAAAAATAACTTTTAAATCAATGATTTACTCCGTTCACTTGACCAAAATAAGTAGGGCGGGGTTCGGACCTGCGACTTATTGATTGGAAGTTGAACACCTTAACTACTGAGCCACCGCTTCCAGTCATGTTTTAGCAGCTATATCTATCGCACTCAATGAAGCAGTGACAAATCATTTCAGCTTTTGGGACGTTTGTGCAAACCAACCGCATGGATAAAATACAAATATCCACTATAGTTAAAAGGATTTCGATGTTTAAGGACTAACCCGAAATAGTCTGATATCTATATAATACGCTTTTAATGCATATGTTTGTAATAAAATTAGTAACCGAAATAATTCCAAAAACTTACGTTCAGGTTCCATATTCACTGAGGAGGTTAGATTTGTATTCAGTATATTTTGATTAGAATGATTATTGGATACAACAGATGATAAAATAAATATAGGTTGATCAACTTTTAAATCTTGAGTATACGGTGTTGGTGTCAATAATGTACACTGCATTTGACCTGTATTATTAGTAGGAGAGAAATTTTCCGATGTATTTGAATTCATAACAGTTGTATGCGGGAAAGAATGATTTAAAGATGTATTCATATAAGTATTATCATCAACTAAATGTGTATCATTCAAATTTGCACAATCTACTGGTAATGTTATTTGGTTATTAGATGAATGTTGAATAATGTAGGGCATAGAAGATTGTTTTGATACTAAAATGTTATTTACGTGATCAGGAACTGAAAGAAAAAATTGAACAACAGATACATTAGTATAGAATATTAACTGACTAATTTACATAATAAGTTTAATGAATAGAGGAAAAAGAACTTTATTTACAACTGATAGATCACTGCATAGTGACCAGAGTCACGTATATCAAGTCCTTCATAATGTTAACCAAGTTCTATCGATTAATTCGCAATGTAACCAATAGTCGTCTAAGTCTATTGATATCACATGCACTGTGTTGAGATCTAACGTGATGATTGACCGTAATCGACAGTAAACTGTGCACCGATGGTTGATCAGCACTAAGGACTTGACATGAAAGAAACCGGTCACTACTCAGTGATCAATCAATTTTAGATACATCTTACTCTAAAAAGAGGTCAGCCACAGCTCCGACTGTGAAGCTAAGTGGTACGGAATCGAGTCCGCTCGTGAGCACTAGTCTTCTTGAGATTACAGGCACACTTTACTCATCATACTCCGTTATTCATATTAATTTGACCGATTCTATGTTAGTATCTCTAGCGCTTACCTAGTACAGTGTAAATCCAAGTGCAGTAAAAGAACCATTTTCAACTGTTTTTTGTACTAAAATCTATATCTTTAGCTGTTACCACTGGGTTTATATCCATTCACTGTCAAACAGATTTCTAATTCTTAAATCCCAGACACATCTAGCAATGAAGACAAAGAAAGTTTCTTAGTTTATACGTCAACAGCCTACACTGGGATATAGATTCCCGTCGTTAATAAACCGTTAAATTGTTTTATATATAGTATAGTTTTGTACATAGTCTCTAGATGCATTAGTACAAGTTCGAGAACAAGCCCCCAAATATTAGCAAAACTATAAGGAAATATTATTGTATGAATTAAGGTTACCATATTTATCATTAATTCAGGATAGGTTTTCGTGACCGTAAAATTTTCATGGTTTAAATCAAGACCACTAATAAAAACCAGGAGCACTGACAGTTGCTTCGTCTTAGTATAAGACTCCTCGGAAATGCCAATCCGCGACCTCATCACAAAGAAAGCATGACCCGGGGGGTATTCATGTTGTGTATAAGATAGCCATCCACCACATGGAATGCAAGATGGTGTCGCAATTCGTGAATCGACTGAAGTTAAACATGTATACCATTGGATGCCGGATTATTATTTATTTCTTTATTTTAACACATAGACATTGGTTCAAGGAGGCACCAAATACATATGCGCCACACAAATCACATTCGATATGTGTGTGAGGGCTGTGATACTGCCCGGGTGCCCAAACCGAAGCAGGTAGTTTTCTTAGAGGGCCACTCCCCGAGCCTTCGACCTGAAGCTCTGATCCACAAGGCAGTGGAGCATCGTAAGGAGATGCAGTCCCATGGAAGCCGGTGACCAACAATTGGTTCATACGCCATTTGTTCCTTCAGGATACTGGAGCCCATGTGCACCATTGGTTTTGAATCCGGTTAAAGCGCCGGACATTCGCTTTTCGTCCTCTCGATTTCGTAAACAGCACCCCCGCCACGAGAAGTCAGTGAGTAGGACTTCCCTGGCAGAGGCTATATACGCGTGGCCATGTGAGAGCATTTCGAGAGGGAGAGCGGACTCTCCCCACTCTCGGCCGTACCAGGGCATTTGGGGGCAAGATGTTGAGTGTCCAAGCGCAAAACCAATGGTTCTGGGTTTGATTCCCTGTTTGGCTATGGATGCGCACTTCTAAAGAGTCCCCCACTAAGATGAAGCAGATGCCCAGTGCATCCAATGTTGATCTAAGGTCAGATAGTGATTTAAACTATGAAAATTATACCTAAATGTTGATTTTCAACTTAGATTATGTTGCAGAAAGGTCTCAATGTCAGGCTAAACACCAAATAAACAAAAATATTTAGGATTCTGTTAAAAAAACATCCCTGTTTTATAAAAAAGGCAAGAAATAGTCTGAACATGTCGTTTAAGTACAGAATTATTTTTACTTACGATGGCTAGTTGATTTTGGTAAATTAGTAAACAATGCCTGTGAAAAGAAAAAGTAAATAGAAACATCTGTGTAAAAAATCGTTTAATGAAACCAGTTATTAAAGTTTTAAGTTTATTTACAAATTACACGTAGGGTATTAATGTTTACGCGGGAAAACCAAAACTTATTCTCCGCTTTATAAAAGATTGAACTACAGCGTATGTCTTAGGAAGAATAATTTCTAGTCTAAAGAGGTGACGAATTCCAAGTGTATATGATCAGGCGAAAAAGTGGAGTTCAAGGTGTATTTTACCAGGGCAACTCAGATGATCAATGAATGAATGACACTGCACACAGAAGTAGTTAACGTTTTAATGGTCCATGATATCTGATACAGTGGCCCAATATTAGAAGTCATCAAATGAAAGGCCACGTTGTGACAATCAAGAATCTCCTAAGGATAAGTAGATGTTATTGATCAAGAAATAGCTTCACTTGCTGAGGAGTAAGTGTATATATATAAGTGCTCATGCATTTCATCCGGTTTATACCGATAAGCCTCCTTCTTCACTTCCAGTTATCTCACTGAGTAGCCGATCGGGGGACTTGCGCATAAGAATTTTGTATATCAGAATCGGTTTCGGCCATAACAGTACCCTCGGATATTGTCATCTGTAGGATACTAATGTTTCAGTAAATGACTTCCCAGAAATTTAGCCAAAGCTTTCAGTAAGTAAGTTTCTCGAATGACATGAAAAAATTTCGATCTATACACAAACATTCAACTTGGGCCCATTAAAATAACGTTTCTAGAAACTCATCATTGGAATCAAGACAAACAGTAATATAAATACATGCAAAATTCCCACCATAATCATAACTATTCAGCGACAACTTAAGAAAACTCCTTCCAGTATTCGTCCATTTTTATCTAGAAGACAGGGAATATATTATCTGAGTTAAGATTTATTATATTTTGGTTAACTTTAATTGTTATACAGACTGAAGTGCCACTATATTCCACAGTAAGCATCTTGCTCACCTTCAAGGATGTAACCACGATATCACTTAGGCTAGATAAAGCATTTAACATGGGATAAAAATGTGATATGCATTCTAGTATCTCAAGGAATTTAATGGTTAATCAACTTAAGGAATGTCATTGCATATAATGATTCTTTAATATACACAATTTCATTACCGGTAGCCTCTTATTAATAATAACCATTAATTCCATGAAAGTTGAACAAACTATGGAGACTCATCACAAACTTTCATCAAACTTCAATAAGAAAACTTATGTGGAACTATTTGAATGTACGAGTTGATAATTAACCTAGAATTTATCAATTGACTTTCAGTGTTTTAATGACAACAATCGGTTACATTTACCGTTTTAGTTTAAACTAATCAATTAAATGAGTCACAATTAAATTTTGTCGATACATAAAATGGAAGTATGTATCTGGAAATAATTCAACATTGAATTATGTTTACACATGAATGATTCAGTATGAAAATTAGTTAAAACATTGATAGTTGGAGTTAGTCAACGAAAATGATCAATGAATTTACCCTAGTGATAATGCAATAGGGAAAATCCCGTTGATGTTGAGTGAGCAGGTTTGTCGATATTTTATAGCTCATTTAAGTGGCAATTAGTTCAGAAAGGAAATCCTACATGTTATGATGCCAAATGTTTCGGTTAAGGACAAATTCTTTCCGTAATAATTATAAAATTACTATCCTGAACTGATTATGTCGAGTTTGACAAAATCATATCAAGGCTGAATTATCACTTAACACTAATTAGGGTGTAGAATTGAGATATTAGAGAAGGAAATGGATAATTCAATACGTGATATGTCTATATGAACACTTAAAGTGTTTAAATAATATTTTACACCTGCCTATCCTCATAGACAAATTAGGTTGCAAATACAACCTTACAGTTAACTGTTTTCGCACTCATACTCCATTTGTTCCCTCAGGATCCTGGAGCCAAAGTGGATCCTCCAAACCTGCCAACCCGGTTTGATCGCCGGACATTCGGTTTTCGTCCTCTCGGTTTCGCAAACAACACCCCCGGCACGAGAAGGCAGTGAGTAGGAATCCCCTGGCGGTGGCTGTATACGCACCACCGTGTACGGCCATCTCGAAAGGGAGAGTTGACTCGCCCCACCCTCGGTCGTACCAGGGCATTTGGGGGACAGCTTAAGAATACTATTCTTTGGTCTGGTCTAAAGTAGGTAGGGTTAATTTGCACCCATAACTCTAGTAGTACAATGAAGTCGAATGATCTGCAAAACTGAACAAAAGTTCCAGATAAAATTTAACATATAAAAAGGGACCTACTTTTTATCAATATAAAAATATATAATAAAAATTGTCAAAGTTAAGATGAGGAAAAGGAGGTACAAATAGTATTTTCAACTCGTAATCACTCAATAAAAGATAAGGAAATGATGTTGATATAATATTAGATAGTTATGCTTTTTATTCCTTAATAAGATTCAGGGAAGAAGAGTAAGTTCTACAGATACAAAATGTTCCTTATATTGATTTTCAGAAGTGTTAGTAATGTGTTGAATAGTAAGCTTATGAAAACATTTTTCAGGAAATGGTTTTTCGTAAGCAGTAAGATCAGATAAGATAAAAGTTAGACCACCTACCTTTGAGTTTATAACACTATTATTACAGGTGAATGGAGACACTGAGGAGGAGTTCAGATTTGGTTGATGTGATGATCTGGGATAATGAATTAGTTGGGAATTAGAGGGGGAATTAGGTTTTGTAGTTGATGATATGTGAGAAACAAGAACAGGTTGGATATGAGGCAAATATTCATTTTCCACTGTGTTTAATGATGAAATTAGTGAATTAGGCGGTAAACTCATTGAGCTTACCGGTCTCATATGAGTTTCTGTTACAGTATTTATTGAATTTCGAGGATGAATACCAAATGTAGACTGTGGTTCAACAACAAATCTCACATTTGATTGAATGTCAATTTGATCGAACTTCTGTTTATCATTGTCACTTGGCTGACAAATTTGATCACAACCATTGTTATTGTTCATCTTCTCTATATCTGCAATGGAAGGTTGCTCCACATCATTCTCATCTTCATCATCTTCGTCAACGCAGCCATCGTCCTCGTTGTCTTCGCTCTTCACATTTGAATAAGGCTGTGACGGGATAACACCGGATCCGCCGTTACAATTCGATCTCATGCGGCGATTTGTTAACTGAAATAAAAATTGCCAAAACACATGGAAAAGAGGTATGAAGATCATTAATTATTAATCAGAAAGACAAATATATTCAATTAAATTTCAATTAAGACATTATTCCATGTCAGTGAAAATACGCACATAGTTTTTAATAGTATTTCAGTGTTTATAGAAACTAAGTTGGTATTAAAATATTTATATTTATGTATACAAGGCATCTTGTATAAAACTAATGTGAATAGACTAAGAAGGGACTCATAATATTTCCAATATTCAGTAGATAAATACAAACTTTGGTAAAAGAATTCAAACTTACCCTAAATACCCAAATGTGTAGCACACACCACAACATTAGTTAGAGACTAAAATACCCAGTAGGATACATTGTATAGATTGAATTATTTTTTGAAACACACTTCAAATGATTCGTTTTTTAAAACTGCACACCAAAAATCACTTCTTCTGAACCAGAAAAACAAAATACTTTTAAAGCCTATGGTTACTCCTTCTACCTAGTGGTACGGCCGAGAGTGGGGAGAGTTCGCTCTTCTTCTCGAAATGCTCTCACATGACCACGCGTATATAGCCTCTGCCAGGGAAGTCCTACTCACTGGCTTCTCGTGGTGGGGGTGTTGTTTACGAAATTGAGAGGACGAAAAGCGAATGTCCCGGTTGATGAACATGGAGAGTCCACCTAGAGGAGTTGGAAAATCCTGATACCAAACCAATGGTGCACATGGGCCTCAGTATCCTGAAGGAACAAATGGTGTATGAACCAATCGTTGGTCAGCGGCTACCATGGGACTGCATCTCCTCACGATGCTCCACTGCCTTGTGGACCAGACCTTTCGGTCAAAGGCTCTGGGTGTGGCTCCCTAAGAAAACTACCTGCTTCGGTCTGGGCACCCGGGCAGTATCACAGCCCTCACAAAAATCAAATAAGATTTGTGTGGCGCATATGTATTTGGTGCCTCCTTGTACCAATATCTATGTGTTCAAATAAATGAATAATGTATAGATAAACCATATTATTAGCAATTTGATGGTCATATTCAATTGATAGAAACGTTTGCACTTGCCTGAACCTGAATAACATGTATGTTAACTTAAAAGAAGTAAACAATACAACTAGAATCTACTGTACTTGATCAGAATAAGACAATCAAGTATTCATTCATGAAGGGATTTACTAAACAGGTAGCGGTGTAAGGCAATAAGATACTGACAAGATATATTTTTCCTCATATATTGAAGGGAAATCTGGAAATGCTTAAGAATCATACTAAATCTATTAAATCTGAAGCTTCTAAAAGTGATCAGCACTGGAGAGTGACAGAGTACGTTGACCACTTAATCAAAATCTAGACATACAATCTGCAATCCGAATAGCTCACTGGCAATGAAACTGCTTGTTACACACTATGACGAGGGCTTAAATTAAACGGGAAGTAATAACCGAATCAATGCTGTGGAAACGATTCGTTTACGAGTAGAGAGGTGATTTAGTGGTTGAGGCACTCAGCTTCTAATCGGTACGTCATATTTCTAAATCTTATTCCACATGTTTCAGTTTAGGTAGCTGAGAAGCACTACTAACCTTTGAGCAAACAGAGGCTCAAGTTCGAGTACATTAACATGTACATACTACATGAACTACACTAATTAGCATGAGTGATATATATATATATATATATATATATATATATATATATATATATATATATATATATATATATATATATATAGCGATGATCAATATGAGCGTAAAATGTTAAATATAGTTTCTAAAGATATTTGAGTATGAGTTTAGGAACATAGGGTGACAACTTTAAATAAGCAATCATGAAGTCTAATTACGAAAGTAAATCACTCCGTGAGGATATGAACATAAACGGACTGAGGTGGTTAGTAATGTGCATTTTTATAACTCGCATCTGTGAATATGGGTAAGATGGATTAATAGAAACCTTATAGTGGTTTGTAGAAGTGGATTTATTCATGACATAACAGACTTAATTTGATCCGTGTTAGGAGAAAAATCCTGATCAATGTCTGTTAAATACTGAATTAAAGTAACAAACCATAAGTTATTAAAATTACAGATATCTACATAACTGTTTTTCAGGTATTCAAAGCCAAACCACTCTCCAGATATTTGTTTTCATCCATTCATCTTTTCCTTCCAGACATTTCAATAACTAGTTTTTTTGTGAATGTACGTACCGATAGGAAATTGAGCAAAAGAAATATTATACAAGGTTTTGTATGGGTGAAAACGGCCTATTCCTTAATTTTGTTCGATGTTAAGTATATCCATAAAAAAATTCACTAAGAACTATGAAACATGTGTTCAACATCTGCTGGAACTTAGTATAAATAGTTTTCGGTAATTACCAGCATTTAGGTTGAAAACTACACTGATTGTTACATCTCTTTCTATATGTATTTGATCTAAGAGATAAGTTAGATACTGTAGACAAATATGTGGTCGAAGAGATATAAGGTGCAAAATATACAGCTGATAGTAACAATAAAGTCTAATCACTTACTTACCCTTTCCATATCAGAATTACTAAGGAATTCATTTGCACGATGGTGTTTCTTTAATCTTTGTAAAGCATGCTCCACCGTAACACTAGCATACTGATAAAGGCGATTGCTGCGTGTGAATACTAGTAAAGCAATTTCGCATTCGCACAATACGCTTAACTCGTACGCCTTTTTAAATAGACCACTTTTACGCTTTGCAAATGTGACCTATCATATAAGAAATAATAGGTTTAGTTATGTAAATTAATTTACCAGTCGATTCTTTTCATCGTTGATAAATTTTATCTCGATTTTTTTACGTCCCATTTTCTAAAAGGAAAAAAGTTGAAATCAGTTAGTGTCCAATGCATTGAGAATTTTCCAAATCCTCCAAACTTATAAGAAAATCAGGATGACTGCAGCTATGAACTTTCCACAATTCAATAGTGTATTACAAAAAGACCTAGATTTAGAGAGTTTACATGAGCGTGAACTTTCATCTGTGTTACCAGCCAGGAACTATTTAGTAATATTTTTCAAGTGCGCCAACTGAAACTGTTCTGTAGTTTAAAAGTATGTATTAAGACGTATATATAATCTCTAAAATTAAGTTCTCTCGGGAACTTAAAGCCATATCAATAAGGACTTACTATCGAATTAAGCTGCATTAAAATATACAGATTGCTAAAATTCAGCAACTATGAGTCAAAAATAAGCTTTATTCTCAAACGGTACCGTTGCATTAGATGTATCTGAGTTATATAATTTTACTGTTCATAGCTATTTCATAGTGTCTTAAAGGTGGTAGGTTGATCCGGATGGTCGGTGGATTCAATTATTCCCTAAGTCATGTTAAAGTCAGGTTAGCTATGTTTCTACCTGAACAAAATCAAACTCAGCAGATTCGAAACCGTCTTACTTATATTAAAGATACAGTGAACCCCTGAGTAAGGAAGGACAGTAAATTGTCAGATGTTCAGGCGTTCATAGAACCGCATATAAATCTATTCATGAAATCAAAGCTGAAATATGATAGATTAACCAAACTAAAAATATTCCTCTTACTATACATAAGAGCCAGAGGTAACTTAATGAGTCTGTAAACTATTTACTGGTGATTTTCCACCGAACATGCCCTCAAACTTTTTTCAAATTTCAAGACGTCGAATTAGTCAGGAGACTAAAAACACTCAGTTCCAAAACCAGTTATTTTTCAGGTAACTACCGACTCTCCCATAAAATCACCAATATGTGGGACTGTTTATCTCATGTGGTCGGAGCTCGACACGATGTTCAAAGATTAGGCTTAACAATCACGTCTTAATTAACTGGAGAACGAGTAACCTATAAGTGAATTTCCTTTGGTCGCCTATGACATTCTATCACGTTCATCATGTGTTTATATTCCGTATATAAATAACCATGTTATTTTGCTACATGAGGAGCTCCTCATATAGCTAGTGGTTTTCCTATTAATTTCTAATTATTCAGGGGCCCAGGTCGATCATACAGTTTCGTGAAAAGCCATCACTCGGTCAAATTATATCACTGCAGTTCATTTATTGGCTAGTATTCTATTCCTCAATTTTAACAATCGAAATTCCGCCTCATGCAGAAAAACACTTGATAACAGCTCCGGTCGATACACATGAAAAGAAGAACAGCTGAAACATCCATCGCCAGGACTAACACAGGCCTTCCAGCTTTCTGTCTACCTTCCCTTTTCTAGACTATCTGAAATATCTTTAAATGTTTGGGTTTTAGTGTGAGTATCAACACTGGGGTGCGGGCACATCCAGATAACAAGTTCAAAGTGACATGAAGCACGCCCCATGAAATTAAATGCTAACTACTATTCGACTTTATTAATATGGGTGAGTGTTACAGATCCTATTGTATATACTGAGTGAAAGTAGCATATAATTAATGGACACGATCAGTTATTTGAAATATCATACATCTATGCTAACCGAAATATTATGATATGAGTGAAAAAATTATTCCTCTTATTAGCGGCCATAGCCGCACAGATAACCACGCCTACTAGGGAACAAACAGATTGACATTTCTCCCCAATCAAGTTCGAGTTCGTCCCTCAAGCCAACTAAAACCCGGTATATACACGTCAAACCAGAGGTCGTTAGTGGTCCAATCTAATACGTTCGCATATGTGAGGCTAATAAGGTTTTAAGAACGTTGAAAATTCGATCGCAGAAGCTATGCGGCGGGTTTGATGGCATGCACACGGAGTCGGTTCTCGTCATTTTTTCGGTGAATCCGACAGCGAGAAAATGCGCAACACAGTCTTGTTAAGAGAAAGATGTTAATTGAGGACTAGAATGCTAAATGTCCTATCCTAGTATTTCAATTTGAATCACTTATTTATTTTACCGACGAACGAATGAGTCGTGATAATAGAGCCGGGTGACTTAAATCTTTCTACTAATAAGTGCAGGACGTAAGATGCCTTTAGATTGATCCTCAGTGGTAGCAAACAGTACACTAACTCACCCAGGCAAAGATCCCTAAGGTCACACACACCCACTTCGAACAGAGCGCAGAAACTCAGTCACCTTGAAAACTGATTCGAATAAAGCAATAAGTTATAATTTCCTGCTTCTTCTCCAAAAGAGTGGTGGTATTAGTAAGTACGGTTTCTTTTTTAGCGTAACTGGTAAATTATCTGTATTTTCGCCGCTCTAAAAATTTTCTGCAATTATTTTGAGTTTCTCTAAATATAAAACGATTGACGATCATGATAGATTTTTGTTAATCGAGAAACAATCATTTCTAAAGTTATGCAGGAAGAAGTTTTTATCTTGCAGCCGACCGATAAATATAACTGCGATAAGTCCTATAACGTCCAGTTACAAATTATTTGATTTGTTTAGGCTGCCGTCTTCATGTTGTTTAATGAACCTGAAGATGGCACAGGTATTCAATGTTTAACAAAGTTTTAACCAGCAACACGTTCTAATATAACCCGTACCCACCAAGAGAGATCAAAAGACAGAATCGAGGAGATTAGAAGTTTTATTTGACGATTGCTAATAAATCGGAATTGTCTGATCTAGTCTGGCTAGCGATTGCAGTAGATGTTAAGCACGGCGTTCCGACACGTGATCTGGTACGGACGCCTTCAGCTAGGTGAGTCCACTAAAACTAATCTGGTCAGCATGCAATGTCGAAAACTTACAGAGCTATTTATTTTGGGGATTTATTTACCGCTACAAGCCCATACGTAATCTAAGTGTTGGGTGGTTTACGGGCATTAAACTTTACTGGAATAGCATTGACTATAAAATAAATCATAAGCTATCATGTGGCAGTCTCGTCCTCTTTCATAATGTACAGCCAGTGAAATGTCTCTGAGCCCCAGCTAAATCATCTAGCAGTCGGGTCATTGAATGTCGAGGACGACCAACGAGCATAAGTTAACTCTATGCCACAAGCTGGCCCGTGCAGCAGTAGTCGCACTCTGTTACTTGTATCTACTCCGTAATAACGTTGTTTGTGTTGTACGGTCATCAGTGTGGTTACGTTATGTGAAGACGTTGAACGAGTAATCCGCTTAAGTTACTGACCGCGGGCTGTTACTTCGACCTTAGATGGTTGATATCTGACTCCAGTATGCCCTCATCCATCTAAGTTGGTGATCTACGATAGCCTAGAGAGACCATTACCATTTGTCGAAACTGATCTTTATATGTTTTCGATAGAACAGAACTATGAGAAAGAGCGTGGAAGATTCGGTGACGATCATACGGATTCTTGGTCCGTTCTTCCCATAAAGTAACGTACCGGTTATGAATGGTTCATAGTGCAAGGATTAGGATTCATGATTTGTAGTCAGGTTTTCATAGGAATTCCATCAAGGACTAACATCAACGACGATAATTATGACTACGAATTCCTTCTGGATTGTATTTGATTTCTTTTAGAGAACAAAAGCTACAAATGTTACTTCTAACCGTGTTTGTGCATAAAAATTAGTGAAGAATTTTGAACATCACCTACACTACATATGCCAAGTTAGGCTTTTAACAGGCAAGTCTCTCTTAGAAACAGTAGAAGCCGTTAGCATTCATGGGCTTTATAAAATAGGACAAAAAGTAGATTCCGGAAGTAAAAAAGTAAGGCGCCTCCTAAAAGTTAATTTACTTTTGTTTATGAAAGGAAGATGATGTTGGGAAATTCACACACGCTGACTGCACGGGGATACGTTCGAATCACAGACTAGTTGACCGTATGAACAGGCGATAGGTACAGGTAGATGTAAGTAAACATCGTCAGACTAGTATATGAACCTTATGCCTCAGAGTTTTGACGTTGTAAACGTTTGGAGCTGAACTTTTCCCAAACCACTCTAAATGGTACGGGAAAGTTCTACACAATTAAAGCCTAGTGAACGAAATGGCGAGGCTTAAAACCGTGGTGGATAAAGAGGAACGTGATGTCGTTTCCATTTCAAGAACCATGGTTTGCGTCAGACGCTCATGATAGTGAAATTCGGTTGCTTAGTTTCTTAGTTGCAGGGCTGATTGACCAAACTGTAAAGGTGGTTGGGTTGTCCCGTACATTAAAGGCACATTTAACATACTAGCTACCGAGACAGTGACACTCGACTAGAAGACATGTGAACTGGAGCGCTGTCGGCTGGAATACGAACTGCAAAACCTTGGGTCAATACTATACCGAAGTCCTGAATGTGTAGAGCATGATGTCCTCAGAAATAAACCGAAATCCTGGTCAAACAGGCTTAAAGGCCTCATAGTCGGTAACGTTAATGCGCTTCTATAAATTGGCGAAACCTAAAAATAGGGTCATCAGGAAGGTCATTTGATTGCAAATCATTGGAAACCACAATCACACTAGCTTCATTTCAGCATATTAGGGCTTCCATCAAATATCACCTACAAACTACTCATATGTGATGATGCTTTCAGCAGATCAAGTCCCTTACGCTTATAGGAGGAAGTGATCATGAAGTCATCATATTCAAGTTCATGGCTGAGATGGTCTGTTAAGTAGTTACACTGGCCAATCCTAATATATAGAACGGGAACATGAAGAAGATCAGCTCTGCAGCCTCGACTGAAAACTGACTCCAGTGCACCAGTATATGGTGCAATAAAGCAATAGACAAAGGCTCTTGATAGTGGAAATTAGTAGATGTTATCTACGTAGATTTCAGCAATGTATTTGATGAGGTGTCGGTAAAAGTCTACTTTTGAAGCTGAGGAATTTAGGAATTGCCTGACCTCTTGAAAAATGGATTAAGGATTTCTTGATAGGTCGTGAACAGAAAATAAGTTTAAATTTTACATGTTGCTCTGGGATATCAGTAATTAGTGTGGTACTGCAAAGCTTCGTCCTAGGTCCTTTACTTTTTATGCTGTATGCAAATGAACTCTCATGTACGGTTGCGTCCTCGGTGCTATTATAAGCTCATAGGCTATAAATCTGGAGAGAAATAACGGGAGACAGAGAGGAACGTGCACTTCAGGCGGACTTAAATGTTCTAACTACGTGGTCTGAAAAATGGTTGTTGCCTATAAACTCGTCCAAGTGTGTCTACATGCACATTGGGGATACAAAGGCAAATAGGTACAGTGTTAGGAAAGAATCTTTTTCCGTAATCTGGTTTCACAATAATCTTGGGGTGACAGTGAGTCATGATCTTAGTACCACGGTCCACTTTCGCGAGGTCTCAGCTTTGAGGTTCAGAATCCTATCGGCTTTAAGACGTTCATTTACCAAGTTAGATCCTACGGTATGCACAACCATTATGAAATCCAAACATCCAACCTAGTTCGGCCCGCAAGTCTCTATTTAAATAGTAACTCTGACAATTAGTAAAACGTATAGAGGACAGCTAACCATGCAATTCGGGAACTCCTGGGTTCACCATACAAAGGGCGGCTTGGAAAGCTAAAGCTCTATACACTGTCCTACCGCAGATAAAGAGGCGATCTGGTTTTGATGTATAGAATAATTAGGAATGGTTTTGAACGAGATATATCGTATTTTTCTTCCCACTAGGTCGGGACAAATCGGAGGTCATGGCAAGCAAGTATGGAAGCCAAGAACGAACAAAATATCGGTAGCGTACAGGTGTTCACACCGAGTCACTAATTCTTGGATCCTGTTATCTGGAAAAGTGTTGTTTGTCTCTCTAATTGATTCATTCAAGAGAAGACTAGATGCTCTCAGAAGCTTGCTAGAAAAGGACTAACATGGTAGTAGGTCTTCTGTCCTCAACACACAAATCGGAATCTAAAATTCTGTTTGACTGAACCCATTCAGGTAATAGTGTCAGTTGAAACAAATAAAATCAGGATTACCGTTGGAGGACTATTAAACTGTTGGTTTTTGGGCATCATCACTACATTGAATTCTTCGAAACTCAGTTGTTTTTTACCATGTTGCAGAGTTGTACTGAATTACATCCCTATATTTATCCAAAAAATGAATTCATCTAAATTGAGACTGATTAGATAGCCAAGCCCAACATGCATGGTGAGGCGTTGAATGTTTGAGTGCCTGATCATATGCTTACTAGATCAGTCTTTGAAAACCAACTAGCTGTGCACTAAGTGTTGAGCACCTGCCAATTTATTTGTCTTATGGTATTCGTCTATAGCAAAACCGTAAGCGCGACCTAAACATTTCTTAACTAATATTAACTTAAAACGCACGTCTCGAAAGAAAGTCATCATTCTTTATTTGTGCATGAGTTTGATGGTCGAAATTCTACTACATGGTGAATATATGTTTATAATTAAAAGTTAATTTTGCCTAGGTGATGTAATCAAAACGTAACATCTGTCTATTAACTTTTCGACATTCAAAGGCCTCTAGTTTTATGTTAGCCACACACAACTTATAAGTATGATGTTCATCAAATTATTAGTGTTCGAATATAAAACAGAAAGTTGCTTTGGACAAACGGCATTTAGTTTTGATTTATAATAGCTGTCTGAAACGGTACGCTACACCTGTCGTAAAGTTTAAAAGTTTGTTGAAATAGTTTACGTTCTTCAATGAAGACAGTTTAATACATATTTTTATACATGTTTTGATCAATATACAGTTTGATGATGCCATAGGTGTTCAGTGTTTGACAACGCTTCTACCAGTAACACCTTCTAATATATTTCGTTCCCACCCAGAGAAATCAAAAGACAGAGTCAAGGAGATCGAAAGAGTGTATTTGGCGATGACCAATATATCGGAATTCTCTGATCTAATCTGGCTAGCGATTGCGGTTGATGTTGAGCACGGCGTTACCACACGTGATCTGGTGCGGATACATGACCGAGCGCCTTCAGCTAGATGAGTCCACTAAAACATATGGTCAGCATGCAATGTCGAAAACTTACAGAGCTATTTATTTTAGGGATTTATTTACCGCTACAAGTTAGTCATTTCGTCCCAGTTCAAAACAACAAAATTTACGTTCAAGGGATGAATTCAGAATTCGTTAGATAGAGGAACTCTTCCA